CGAGAGTGTCAATGCGTGAATGCAAATCAGTGTTATCGATACCACTGTCATATATAAACAAAACTATTCTCAAACATCGAATTAGACGTTCAATAACATACCGCACAAACACAACGCCCTCAATCTCAAAATGATGGTCGCATAAATTCAGTAAATCGGCAATATGATTAAAGAAAGCGATCCATGCATCTGCGGTCAGTGTCTCGTGATCTTCTCCTATCTTTATTACAAGCAGTAGTAGCGCCTCCACGCTTGCAAGACACGAGTAAGTGAATGGCGATTTTACAAGTACAAATGAAAGTTTAACGAATAGAAATGGGCATTTTACAAACACAAATGGAGATTTTGTTAGAAATGAAAAAAAGTAGTTTCACAAATACAAATAGAGATTTCACTTACACAAACAGATTTTACGAATACAAATGTAGGTTTTATGAACACAAATAAAAAACATCAGTAGAAATAGAAAATGTAATTTCACGAATACAAATAGAGATTTCACGAATACAAATATAGATTTCACGAATACAAATATAGATTTCACGAATACAAATAGAGATTTCAAGAATACAAATAGAGATTTCAAGAATATAAATAAAGGTTTTATGAATACAAATATGTAATTCATAAATATAAATTAAAATTCTCGCACATAAATATTTTTAATGAATATTGCAACACTTGGCCTTCCATATTAGACCGCGATGTTTGTGTTTTTAAGATCGCCACTGCAGTGATACCCCCCCCCCCCGGCGTGTGCGTGGCCCGATCCTTTTATCTCAATTTGCTACTGTATAGCGCCCTCTGTCAGTGAATTGTTGAAACCTGCAACATTTTTGCCCACTCAAAATTTTAGCGAAGCAAAACAAACAAATAAGTCGCCTCGTCGCCCACTTTTGGAGAAAAAACAACACAATTTGACCAGAAAACATGTTTTGTTATTTCGAGGTAAATATTAAATGACAACATATGCGATGCATGCGTAACTCGAGAGGCAATAATGTGCGACCCGGATGCGACAAATGGGCGAACCCTAACCGGTAAATAAACGACCCCAATATTGATTACATGACCATGAGGCGATAAATGTACGGTGCGATTGCGAAAGAATTGACAGGTTGGTTGTGAGAACGCATTTTATTTGTGACGTGAACCTAAATACTCTTCGTTGGCGGGAAGCACCAGTATGCACAAACAAACATACACGACGCTGATTGGTTAATCTCATCTATAACACAAGATTTGATTTTTCTACATCTATTTCTCTGTTTCTGCATCCGCTGCCGGAACAACTTGTTTTCCTGTCACCAAATACGACTCGCTACTGGCTATAATATGCATTAACTTTAAGGCAAGTATGTTCTGATTGCATACCCGTTTAACCTGTCTGTAGTGTTTTCAGATAGGGTCACCGGAAACGGTGCTATTCGAAGGAGTCATTTATGTTCGGACACCCTTGAAAGTTTTGATTTTTGCCAGCAGGTTACGTGCGCCACGAAATGCCTAGGTGTATAGCTCTGCTTGTACTTGACTACGTATCGGAGTGGGGTTCTGGCGTTTTGGTTCGTAGAGGTACACTATAATATATACAAGAGAAATCCACATTATGTACTCTAGTGCTTGTGAGGTCCGCGATGTAAATTGTAAAAGTATTAGACACACATGCAGGAGGACCTTCCCAAACCCAAAACCCCGCGGAACCACGGCTGATGGTCCAGACATTATTGCATAAATCGGGGCTGTATTTATTTGTAATAATGCTCACTTCATCTTTGTCCATTTGTATAGAGCTGTGCCATGCTATTCAATTTGGTTTTAAGTATCATCCAGTGATGAATTTTGGAGGTTCTCTTGTGTTTGTCCCGGATTTATATTCTTTCAAAAATTGCCTTGTTCCCAAACTTAGTTGAATTAAAATTGAACTACTAGTATTTTTTATAGTTGGCTGTTTAACCACAAGTGACCAACAAGTTTAGAAATCTTGGTGACTGTGTAGGCTTATCTCTCTTGACAACCCTGCTGCAGGGCTTCTTGTATTTACTACTCACAGCCGAATTTTCAAAGGTTGGCTGATTATATTATAATGATAATTTATTGCAATTCAATATTTGCTTAGTAAATACTTGTAAACAGCTTTCAAACTACTTGCTATATATATTTTTAAAAATATTTTTGTGCCAGGTGACATTTCCGGACATTTAAGTCTCTGCTGTTTCTTCTTTGGTAATAATTGCAAGTGCGTGTGTGCAAACCAGTCTTTAAAACATAATACCCTATGTTGGGATGACATAGCAAAGATTTAAACTGCTGAGTGAACTGTTTGCTCAGGAACCAATTCTGGAACCTCTCTGATGCAAGGCAAACATGCTAACTACTGCTATTTTATATTCTATTCACCATTTATAATACAACTGTACATTTGTATTTATATTTATATTTATATTGACCTATGGTTTTATTATTGAATAGTAGTCAAATTAGGCACAAAATGAAATTCTGCAGAGAGATGAGAGAATTGTTATCTCAAAATTGATGTTTGTCATGTATCAGAGAACTAAATGAATACTAGTACTTGTCCAAATGTATATTATATGTAGGAATGGGGCGATTAAATCACAGCACAGACTGAATACTGTAAACAGATTTATTTGCACCACTATAAATTTTCCTGTTTGATACTGTAAAATGACTAATTTTCACTGGGTTTAAATTTCACTGATTTACCATTTCAGGCATATTCAGTGGGTTTTAAATTCACGGTTTTATCATTTAGATAATGTGTTCTATGCTAAATTTTACATATTCACTGTGTTTTAATTTAGCGCATTTTTCCAGTCAGCGAAATAAGCTAAATTAAAACCCAGTGAATAATTACCCCCTTTACAGTAATTGAGAAAATTTTTCGTACAGGCTCAGTTTCGTGAAAGTCAATAAAATAAAACACTGCTACAAGTTTTCCAGAACTTGTGAATGTTTGTCGTGAGCTCAAATTTAAATTTGTTCACAATATCATAATTAGGCCCAATAGAACTTCATCTGTACATATTTAACCTTGTAGTCAGTGCCATGATTTTTACTGCAGCAGTTGGTGCAACATTTTGCAATAATTTCTTAATAATTTTGACCAAATAGATATGATAACAAATTTGTGTGGGTGAAAGATAACAATAATTTGACTCTGGCGTTGAAAGGTTAAAGAATAAAATTTCATTTTCCATGATGAAGTGTCATTGTTATTACCATAGTTGCTATTTTGAATATTAGGCAAACAATTTTCTGGTCATTCTGTTTTCTAAAGGTGGCCTTTTATTCTAATTTTATGAAATATTCATTAAATTTGTCAGTTTTCATAAAAACTAAATTTTTGGCCAAACAAATACACTTATCGATGGTGACCAGATAAAAACATAATTTTTTTTTGATGATTCAGCATAAATGATATGTAATAATATTATTCATTTTGTTGCAGTGTGTACATTTATAGTACAAGATGTTTCCAAGTACAAATAAAGTGCCGTTTTTGACGGTAAGGCATGTATATACATTCAAACTGGGAATTTTCAGTTATTTTTGCAGTAGAGCCAACAGTGTCAATTTTTCATTGTTTTTGTGGAACAGCCTTTCCAAGTCATTTGCATGTCCTATGCATGCTAATATAAGAAATAAGACAGCTTTATAAATAATGAGAGTAGATAATTTTTTTTTACATTGTTGGAACAATGTTTTGTATACAATACTAGCGTATGTTCAGTTGCTTTTGCATAAAACCTGGAACCCTTCCGGCATAAGTATCGTAGTGTTCAATCATGGTGTCGTTTTTGGAGTGCAATATTTCAAAAGATCAAATATAGGAAGTTTGTGTGTATCAAATCTTGTGCAACTAATATCTCAAGAACCACATGGTACTTAAGATACCCCTCCAGAGTTGATTCGATTTTAGTACAAATCCATGCATACTAATTGGGTAAATTGCATAATAATTATATAAATTCTGCTTGTTCCTAGTGTATCTTCACAACATGTATACTGTTTGTGTGGTTGCATAATCAATTGATAATTGCATGTCACAAATCTGTGCATCTTAATTAGCAAAATTTATTTGTTTCTTAACTTCAGACAAGAACACCAAAGCGTTGTCCATTTGGTTTTATTGATGGAAATCAAATACGTTCAGTGGAGAGACCTACGAAACAGCCTACTGAAGTGCCTAAATCACAAACTCCTCTACCAGATACATTGTCATTGGTAATTAGTACTCCAAAAGTAGAGTAAGTACAGTGTTTTATTCTTTTAGAGGTCAGGTCAGGTCAGAAACCAGGATTACAACTATCTTAGTAGCAATTTGCACAGTTTTTCTTGTGATTACCATGTGTTGCTGTACAAGATTTCTTAGGGCAGGTATTTGGCAATCAACAAATTGACTGCTTCACTGAAATTGTATCTTTTGATTGCCATCAATTTTATCATGCTTTATCATCAACAATGCTTACACCAACACTGAAAAGAGACACCGACCAAGGCTGTAGTCTGATGAAACCAGATATGATAGACGTGGCTCTGCAAGCACCTCCAAGTTCTTTGCCATGTACACCAGCCTGGGACCAACACTTGTTGATGCAAGCACTGACACATCACCAGTTGCATCAAGAGAGATAGAAACTATGGTGACGCCCAAATCCATAGTTTCTGTGGCGGCTTCCCCGATACCGATTGATAAAAAAGATGTGTGTTTAGGGCTGACACAACTGAAAGGTGTGGATGAGGAGACCTCTATCTCGCCTGCTTGTACTGCCATCAATTGTGAAACAAGTTGACTGCTTCATTGAAATTATATTTATTGAGCGCTATCCCAGCCAATAATTTTGAGCTTTGTAATATCTTTCCACATTTACACTTAATTTTATACAGAATAAGTATATACAAGTTCATGCGCTCCCAATTAAATACAAGACAGTAATGTTTAATGCTGTCACTTATCAACACCTTTTTTGGTGAATCAAACCAAAGTGTCAGATGTACATGTATTATTATTGTATAATTGTTCTCACCTCTGTATTTATAAGTTTCTAAAGTCTTGATATTGCATATTACTATAGAATACTTTATTTTAGCTGGAATTAAATTTTGCTGAAAAGACATTTTGGGTATGGAATTTTTTTTCACTGATTTTTGACAAGTTGAATGTAAAATATAGGAAAACAGGTATATTCGCTGGATTTTATTTTCACTGACCCATTCCTTCAGTGAAAATAGCGAAAATAAATTCCAAGCGAAAATAAAGTATTTTACAGTATTATGGAAGACACCAAATAATTTGGAGGACAACACATGTACTGCTGGAAACGCTACTTTCATGTTTTATACAAGGAATAACCCTCCACTTTCAATGTAAACACGATACAACCAAATCTAGCTCTTAACAACTCATTCACTTGTAGCTATTAGAACAATTACAAATAAATGTGAATTATAACATACATGTAATCCTTTGTCTTTTGCACTCTCCTTTTGTGATTGGGCATCTTTCATGATACAGGGTGCATTAAACAGAGAGGTTGTTAGTTCAAATAATATAATTCGATGGACCGATAATAAATTCGTAGAAATTTGTCATTTCAGGTTGCCTAAACCGATTGTGTCTGTATGTGAAGAGTCTGCAGTTGAGGCTGGTGCTCTGACAGATAGTCAGTATTTGACAAATGTAATTAGTCACCAATTTGTATTTATTCTCCTGTACTTGTAAATACTAATTTACGTGTACACTTGCAGTATGCCTAACCTGCCGCATGCATTTATCATACCAGTGTTGGCAATTTACCATGTACTGCGTCATAAATTTTGAATGGAATCGACTAACTTGGCTCAGCTTTGGTAATTTTATTCATGAGGCAATTACATTTTTGTGCTTTTCCACAGTAAGTTCATATTGTCACTGCAGTGGTTAAAATGTGTGATGCATGATCGAAAGGAAATAAATGCGAGACCCGATATGTATATTCTTTGATTAATAGAATATTTACAAATAGATGAATATTATTTTTTTAGTGGATTATTTTAAAATATTCGTATTAGTTTAAGGATTTAAAGGTGTTAAAAGTGGATTAATAATAATTTTTATACATTTCAGAAATGTGATTGGCCTGATAAAATGCCTTCAGATGTGGAAATATCATTGTATGTCAAAAATATAATTGAGAATGCTCTCAAAACTCTCCAAGATGAGCAAATAGGTCGCTTGGCTGATGTTGTATTGTCCTCCGAGAAATGTGACAGCGCTACTAACAAATGTAGTGAGCTCACCAATGGAAACCATCAAGTGTTACAAAATACATCATACTGTACATCCTCGCTGCGAGTTACCAGTGAAGATAGTGGTGCTTGCACAACATCTGTTGGACCTACATCCTCGCTGCGAGTTGACAAAGTTACACGCAAAGATTGTGGTACATGCACAACACCTCTTGCTGCTCCAATTCTTTGTGATGCCGAGAGCAATACACAGACACAAGCCGAATTTTATGAAGCTTCATCATCAACAATGACTACACCAACACTGAGAAGAGACATCGATCAAGGCTGTAGTCCAATAAAACCAGATATGATAGATTCGGCTTCATCTCCACAAGCACCTCCAAGTTCTTCTATATCAACAATGACTACACCTAAAAAGCATTTCAATATTGAGACTATGGACTTTGCCATGTACACCAGCCTAGGACCAACACTTGTTGATGCAAGCACCGACACATCACCAGTTGCATCAAGAGAGATAGAAACTATGGTGACGCCCAAATCCGTGGTTTCTGTGGCGGCTTCCCCGATACCGATTGATAAAAAAGATGTGTGTTTAGGGATGACACCGATGAGAGGTGTGGACGAGGAGACCTCTATCACGCCTGCTTGTACTCCCATCAATTCTGAAACCATGACAACGCCACTTGTTGTGCCACCAGTATTGTAAGTAGGCATTTTTTTGTATAGCGACTTTTGCTGCATTTACGCAAGTAATTATTTTGTCCGGCAAAGTAAAATGTCCAGAGGACATAATATTATGTTCTGAATTGCATGAACTTGATGTATTTGGGCTCTCTAATGTATGTGCCCAATCAGAGTTGGCGTAGCCTATGGTAATAGAAAAGTAAAGTAACAAAACAAATATGGTAACAAAACAAAAAAGTGATTTGTCAGAGAGAGCATACTTAAAAACACATTGTCTAAATGCTGATGCAGTGCCCAAATATATACTGGCTTCTGCTAGTGAAAATGCATGTGGCCCAGCATATATGTATATTACATAGTAGTTCAGTACAATAGAACAATACAATAACTTTTTAAAATCACAATCAAGGTATTCATTGTTGTGCTAATATAGCTCTATTGTTCACTCGGGCAACATAATCTATAATGTTTAGGGGTTTTTCTAGAAAAAAACAAGAGGGACCATTGCAATTCAGCGAAGCGACCAAATGGGGGGGGGGGGGGATAGGGTTCTCTCTACCAGGTTGTGGAATTTTTGATAATTCCAAGTTAAAATTGAGGCTTCCATGGGGCCAAAATTACTATCAGACAGGTCACAGTCAAAGACTGTGGCAACATGTGATCCCTGGTCAATCAGAATTTTATGGTTGCCAGGGCATCTGCTCCCCAGGGTAGGAGGCCATGGCATGAGGGCGCTGCGTCCCTGTTCCCTTGTTTAAGAAAATCCCTGATGTTTCAGGGAGAACCATGGATAGTACTATTAATTAAACAAATTTATGTGGAAAACCGAGATAATTTTTGGGAAACTTTGGTAACATTTAGCTGCTTATCATCCTGTTCTTTCTAGGAATTTAAAATTTTACTGGCTCAAATTTTCAAGGAAACAATGGAAGAATAGAGTCATGATGCTGTCCCAAAGTTCTGGGGAGAATGTCATTCTTACAGCCGTTCTGAGAATTATTCGAACAGTCAGTTAGCAAAATGACTTGCAACTTCGCCACTTGAGTGACGGGCGCGTGGTTTGGGATTACTATTTCATAGGGGTTGTCCGTTTTTTTTTTTTGTCGGCTTGGTGAATTGTAAGTATTATCTAGCGTGCGTTCACAGCAACCATTCTTTGTTTTTTATAATTATATTGTAATTATTTTCAGTAATTTTGAAAATCACAAGTTGGATGTTGCTTAAATCTGTCGAAAAATGTCAACCCCTCGCTCATTTTAGTCAGTTGTACCTGTTACAAAAATGGACTAGACATAATAACGGTCGTTATACCCAGTCATTTTCAAACTGCAGTTGAAAAAGTGATTCGATCAAGGAAGGCACTTTTGATTTGACAAAATCCATCAAACTATTATAATCGAGTTTTCCGTCTGTGTATCCCTGACGTACTCACAGCACCAGTAATGTAAAAACAACTTTTAGTTTGGCCCAAAACTGTCGCGAAACTGCAGCGCGTCCCGCTAAGAAACTTTACTTTGAGCCTTCCCGCCAACGACGAGTTCATTAATACCTGGGGTTACTCAACACTCGGGAGTTGTTTTGTAAATTACGCTATGTCAGGTGGACTCAGATAGTTATAACAATTTAAAATAACACTTTGAATGCATATACAACATATAACCTGTTAATATATGGTAACCAACGCGTGTCGTTTTGAAAACGGCGTTTTACCCGCATCTTGCAAGATGATGGAATGATTCCAATTGTGGGCGTGCCAATACAATGGCGCCATCAAGTCTAGATTGGAAAAGGCCCAAGTGTTTTGCAAAGTTCCAACATATATTGCTAACTGACTGTCTGAATAATTCTCAGAACGGCTGTAACAAAAATACTGCACCTGTTATGGATGTGATAATTATTACTGATACTGACTTGCTAGATTTTGTTACTTATTCTTATTTAGTTCCATGGATGACTATACTGCTGGTAAATCCAATAAGTTATTAGATAATTTAGAGAGTACTACAATCAGAAATGAACTTTTGAGGAAAGAAAACAACGAGCTGAAAAAAGCCAAGTCTTCTCTCAGTGTGGATTTGACTTGTATTAAAGTAGAACTATCTGAACAAATGGATAAGATTAGAAAGGTGAAAGAAGAAACCAGAGTAAGTGAGAGTTTCATATTTTACCACTGTATTTTTGCCAGAATTGTTTGCTCTGAGATCTAGGGAGACTTCAATGGTTTTAGCACAACCTGAAGATTTCTGTGCACTCCTGACCTTACTAAAAAAAATGTTGCGCATCTGATCAACCTAACACAAACTCAGAATTACTGTAGTAGAGTCACCGGTGGTAATAAGAACATGTCACGCTGCCTAAGACAAAACTCTTACTCATTTCATTGGACGAGTGCATTGGATTCTGGGAAAATCGATGTTTATCAACACAAATGTCACACACGCGTGGCGAGACGACCACTGCCAGTTAAATAACATGTATATCATTATCCCAAATTAGCATCATGTTAACTAACACAATCAATGACTACTGAATTTCTAGTTTTAGTATGAATTATTAACCCAATGAGACTTTTCATTTGAAATCACCGTAATTTTTAAAAAACTGATTACCTTGTGCCAAAGTGAAAACATTTTTCGTTCACATTAACAAGATATGTTGTATACATACACACAAATTTAAATCTGTTAAAATTTTACTGGTATGTTTTCAGTTTGCTAAATTGTGAATAATTAATTTTGTTTGTAGAATGAGATGCAAAAAGAAATAGATACTATCTTGGCACAAAACGGAGATCAGATGAATGAAATTGGAAAGCTGTCTTCTGTAATAACACAGGTAAGTTGACATGCATGTACTACATAGTCTGTTCTGAGAACATTTTAAATTTGATTTCACTTCGTACTTGAGGAGTGTGTGATGAGATTTAAATATGTTGGTGAATGTGAACTTGTTGTAAAAGTGAATGTCGTGTCATCCCAAAAATCATTTTCTCCATATTTTCCTGTGGTCCTGTTTACTTCAGACATAACTATGCCTGTGGCCCTGTTTACTTCAGACATAACTATGCCTGTGGCCCTGTTTACTTCAGACATAACTATGCCTGTGGTCCTGTTTACTTCAGACATAACTATGCCTGTGGTCCTGTTTACTTCAG